GGCGGGGAACATTACCCCAAGATTTCAGCCTTCTAGCTTCTTAGATCCCCGAGTTATGAATTTGTGCGGGAAAAATTATGGGGGCGGGGCTCGTGCGCGGGTACCACGCTTAACCGGGGGCTGGATTTGAGCCCACTAATAGCCGCTTGGGCGGGGAACATTATCCCAGGTGGGTACCACGCCTACCCGGGGGCTGGGTTTGAGCCCACTAATAGCCGCTTGGGCGGGGAACATTACTCTTCTCAGATCCCCGAGTTATGAACTTACCCGAAAAAAATTTTGGCGGGCTCGTAGGGGGGTACAACGCTAGCCCTCTAGCTTCTCAGACCCCCGAGTTATGAACTTACCCGAAAAAAATTTTGGCGGGCTCGTACTGGGGTACCATGCCTACCCGGGGTCTGGGATTGAGCCCACTAATAGCCGCTTGGGCGGGGAACATTCCCCTAAAATTTCAGCTTTCTAGCTTCTCAGATCCTCGATTATGAACCGACCCCAAAAAAACTTTGGGGGGCCCGCACGCGGGTTTTGGCGCCAATTTTGCGAATGGGGGCCCGTACGTGTATGTAGATTATGTCCCCAAAGTTTTAGCCCCGTAGCTTTTGCCGGTCTCGAGATGAAAAATCGGTACAGAGGCCCAGCGCACACACAGATACAGACACACACACACAAACACACACAGACAACCTCTCGTCAATATGCGTTTTTCGCACTGCACTGCTGCAAAAAACGCATAAAAATTTACAACGCCACTGATACTTTGGTCAGGTGCTAAATTTATCGTCGCATTTTTTTTTTCGCTCATTGATACAGCCGATAACTTCTTTATTCTACCTTATTTTGGACCTTTCACATCCGACTATTTCCATAAACGCTCAAGCAGAACTTTTCAACGCACGCTCTTTTAATCTGCTTTGCACATTTTCACGCATTTCTTAAAGAAATGATAAAATGAAGAGATTTTTAACATTCTACAACCGGCCACTAATGGGAGTTAAAGAAGTTGATGGCCAACTAGATCATAAAATGTAACATATAACTCAAAAGTTTGCACATTTTTGAATTAAACTGAAAAAAGCAATTACTGAGGAGTGTGAGAAATACAAAAAAGCAACTGCTGGGAATTAAAATGTCACTTTTAGAGGGTCGACCAGTGTAGAAGTACAAGAAAATGTGAACAATTTTTTAGGATGTGGTAAAGCTCACTTTGCAGTTCTATCCTTTTTGCTCGTTTCATATGCATGAGATGGCAACATTCGACCCAATAACAATTCCTGAAACAACTTTGGAAATTTCTACAGCAAAGAATATTAAAGCAAAACGGTGCTGGAAAATAAACTGCAAAAATAACAAGTGGTAACGATCGCCAGTTAAATGCCAGTGAAAAATTACAACTTGGGCAAGAATAATCCCATTTTTTCTGAGAAAAATATGGAAGTGGAAGAGCTGCAAACCTGAAAGCTTTTTAGTGCGGCCAACGTAATTTCACCGTTATCAGATGCGCTGAGATATTCGATATAATGAAGAAGAGTTGACAAAATTGATGGAAAGTCATCTAAAACACTGTCCAGTACACAACAACTATTAAGTCCACACCGATACAACAACACGCAATGATCCCGAACCTATTCCAGAAGTTATTAAATTTGGTCAGTGACAAGGCATTTTTAGGAAAAGTGCCATCCGCCAAACAAACAGCGATTTGAGCGTTTGCGTGTGAAACATTTAAGAAACGAAATCGTCCATCGTCTTATAATTTCAAAAAATGAATTTAAACTAAGCAAACCAAGAGTGCGCAGAAGCGTTCGCTGAGCATTGAAAATTTTGACGACACCACTGAGAGTTTGAACGGACGTTTCGGCCCACTGCTTCGATTCAGTATCCCTTGAATGATGGATGAGTATGTTGGAGGCGCCAAGCGCTGAACTATCCGTTCGCGTTGTCGATGCGCTGCGAGTCAACGCTCGCACTTTGTCTAACATCGGAAAAAGCACCTAAAAAATTTTAAAATTGCCACAGCAGCGTAAAAATCAATATAACCAAGACAGTTAAAGCAACAGATGTAGGGATCCGATGTTAATGGCAATACCGGACTGTCCCCACCACTTGGTTGCACCGCAGCGATTCAGTGTCGAGGATGTCGCGTGATTTTCTATCTCCTAAAGTGATTTGTGAGTTCACCCTTGAAAGCAACCCGTGGTGCAGACGCATACTGCCTGGTTCAGCTGGTTCTGTCACAGCATTCGTTGATCGACCGAGTTTTAACATCCCCCTCTCCCCTGACCGCATATCCGCCTACAATTTCATGAGTTTGACTGTATTACTATCCTGTCCAGGACAGACTCCTGAGCAGAAGGGCGACGAGGAGTGGGGAGGAGAGTCCCCACCCATCCTGGAACTATGCAAAAAGTAAGAATAGACACCGCTAGTTGGAGTTATTTTAGGCTTTAGTTTACTTTGGTTTTAACTTTAGCCCCGAGCTTTTGCAGCACTGGTGCCTGTGCCGCTAGGAAGGAGAGAGGCAAAAGACCCATACGATCCTATGAACAGGCAGAACAGTCATCCATATCACTCAAGCTTTCTGGACAGGATGCGATGCAATGGCTTTTTCATTTGCTTTGAGAAAACACAATTTGTAACGCCATGCCGCACCAGTGCTAAATCCATTATTACCAAACCTACACCACGTGCAGTACCCCCGACCGGGACCTGTAGGACAAAACACCAAACTTAAAGAAAACATGCTCTCTCTCTCTCTCTCTCTCTCTGATCTGAATGAATGAAGAAAGAGTGATACCTTCCAGATCATATGCTTCCAGGTTGTCGGTTTCAATGCCACACCGTGAGAGGCAATTGTTTGCAACAGTGTCTGGCAGGCACTTTTACGAACTGGGGGCCGAACGTCAACACAGAGTTCCGAGAGGCAGTTATATAGCACCAGCCAGATTGTTTCGCTTTCCTTCTGCGACAGTTTCGGGCTCTTTCGATACACAAAATCGGATATGGTCCACTGAAAATCACTGATTGAACTTCTCGAAAATGACAGCTAAACTTGCCGGAGGAGCCCATCCGTCCCAACTCCAAGCGCTAATTATGGGACGGATCAGCTAAATGGA